TACATTGCATGAAATAATTCTAACAAGCAATAATATTTTATGAAAGCTCTGGTTCTCAATTAAAATCCTATTTATTATGTAAATAAAGGTATTTTAAATAAACTTAAACTTATATTTTTTTTAGCTGATACTTTAAATTAATTATAAAATAATAAAATATTATTGCTTAGAATGCACTTAATGCAGGGTATTCTAATAAAGATTATATAATGAAATAACTAAAAAAGTTATGAGTAATGATAATTATAAGAAGACATGCCAACCTATTAATATATTTATTTCCTTCTATGGTTTTCTTTTTATCGTAATCTATCTTATTTTTTTAAGTTTACAATTGAAAAATCGTAAAGAAGGCATTAAAATTGTTATTTTAATATCATGAAAAAAATTAAAAATATAATTTAAAGTAACTATTATAATATTAATAATAACATACTCAATAAAAAAATAAAATAGCAAATTTATTGAAATATTAACTTTAAACTTTAGATTATTTTTAAAAGCATGTTGGGGGTTAAAAAATACAATTAAATGAATAATTTGATTTCCAAAAAAAACAAATAGAGATTAAACCCAAGTAAATAAGGAATTAAAATTAAATGAGTTTAAAATTGGAAAAAACATAGTTAATAAGGTTTAAGGAATTCTTGATTTTTACTACAATGCGGGAGTTTGGAATAACTAAATGTTTATTTATGGCTGGTGGAATCATTAAAAATTAATAATATCAGTCTTTCTTATAACAAGAAATATTCTAAAGCTCTATATCTGACTCTGAAAGTCCTATATTTACATTAATCAATTATTTATAAATTTTTATTATCTAGTTGAATGATATCTGCAGTTTATAATTAATAATTTTAATACTACATCCATGATTGTAACTATTGTACTTCTGGCATTAAGTAGATAATCTTCTCTTTTTTTTTTTTTGATATCAATGGTTAAGTTATGTATTTTATGGCAACCTTATTGTAGCTCTTTGTCCTTTCAAATTTTCAAATTCACTCTTGGATTATAACTCCTTCTGATTATGAAAAATCTTTTGAAATTCATAATTCTTCATACATTGTTGTGCTTCTTAACATTTTAAATGAACAATCTTTCTTAATGTATAATATTTCTTCCAATTTTCTTAAACCACATCTTACTTCAAGTAAAATTTATTATTATTAATAAATTAAATATACATTCAATCCAATTAATCAAAATTTATTAAAATTTTAGAATTTAAAAAAGTAGAATAATCAAATATTAATTTCAATATTTCGCTTTCTACATAACATTATAATTGTTTTAAAATATTTTAAGAAAAGCCTATTTTAAGTAAAACCTTCCTTTCAAAAGAATCGAACTAAATACGCTAATAAAAAGAAAAGATAATTGAGCCTTTCAAAGAATTGAAAGGAGTGAAATTTAAGTTGGAGCTTTAATAACAACTTGATATTATTAGATATATTAAAAAGATTTATGAGCTTATAATCAAAATAATCATCAAAGAAAAAAACTTTAAAGAGATGGAATAGTCTGTTACCTTGCAATAATCTAAGTATAATTTAATTTAATGTTATTTTATAAGCAAAAATACTCTTGGTTAATGTTATTTGAAAAATGATTTTGATATGAAATTAAAATTTTCCAATAGAGCAATTAATAAAAATTACAATAATTTTCTTTACTTAAAAATGCCGATTAACTATTTTAAATTCTAAATTAAAAATAATAGTTGGTAATGAGAAAAATCGCAGTAATAAATTCATATTATATGGTATCCTGAATTATATATTGAAAAGAAATAAGTGTGGATTAATAAACATTTGAGAATAAAGACCTGCTTTAATAATTTTTGCAATGATTGCGGAATCATTAAAAAGAATTACTACCATAAATATAGCAAAATCTTATATCAAAGTTAAAAATCCATATTTGTTGCTTCATAAATAGAATACTTTGCTAATTGATGCTAATAAATTATTTTTATTTATAATGATAGATTAATAGAATTAAATTTAGTAATGTAGAAAATATAATAACCAATCTGCTTTTATATGGTTGAAAGAATGTAAAACCATCTTCTATGAAATATTAACTAAAATTTATAGATATGGGTAAATTTAAATACAATTTGATGTCTGAGATTTGATACGTCTTCATACATGTGCTCTTTCTTCTTTGTTATAAAATTTTGCACATTCTTTAAGTTGACTGAGCTTATACTTGTTTTTCACTTTGAACAATTAGTGGAAATCATAGAACTGGTCACAAAGCTTTTGAGAAACTGATTTCTTATATGCTATATAATGCAATTAATTTTTTGAATTCATTCTGGTCTTTTTAGCAGTTCTGTATTGCTCGCTGGTATTTATTGATGCATTCCTACTAATAATTGAGTAAATTAAAATGTAATGAAAGGGCTATTAGAATTAAATTATAAATAAACCTTTGCTATTATAGATCAGAGTATACTTAGGATCTATTTTTATTGCTTAATCATAGTAATTAATTTCATCATGGTATTTTACAGAAGGAGTACTGCAAATACTTAAACAAAATCATTTTAATTATATTGAAATACCATTATTGTTAAAAGTTATTAAAGTGAAAGAGATAGCATTCTTTCAACAAATAAAGAAGAAGAGAATTCCTATATATTCAACTTCAAAATCTTATCAAAAAAGGTCTTGTAAATTTATGACTTAATATTAAATAACTTCTTTAATAATTTTTTTTACATCTTCGGAGTAAACTTTTGGATTCCTGGTTTTATTTTAATTTAGGATGAATATTTAAGGATAAGAAAGTTTTATAATGTAATTTCTTCAAAGATTATGTAATTATAAGTCTGCTTTTTATTTTATACTAACTTAATGCACGTGCAATCCTAGTTAAAATATTAGGAATAAGATTTAGAAGCATTTTAATTGATTTTTAATTTGCATCTACAAAAATAAAGCCATAATAAATTATACTCTTAACTAATAATACATAGAGAGCGATTATGAAAAAGATTAAAATAATTTAAAACAACTAATTTGGGTGAAATGAAGATATATTTTATCAGAGAGAATAAAAGGAATGCTATTCTTCATTTTATTATTAACGATTTTCTTGGTCTTATAGGTTTGCTGAATAAGAGAATGCTTAAATTACAATAAAAAAGCTGCTTTGTAATTACTATAAAATTGTTATTTTTTTTTAATTGTTACAAAATCATTTAACATGATCGATTTAAATAATCCATACTATTCACTAAATTGAATAATAAAAAATAATAAAAAAACACCCTAAATTATGATCAAATTTCAATTAAAAGAAAAATATTAAGATAGAGATCTATAATTTATAACAGAAATTTGATTCAAAGTATTACTAAATTGATCTAAGACAAAACACGAGTTAGATAGGATTAATATTTAACAATGTTTCTTTGATCAAAATTTCATGAGGCTTAATAAAAATAATTTCAAGCATCTTTGTCCATACCATCTTAATAAATTTGCAGTTGTTGTAATATTTACAATTTCTAAACTTGTTTGATAAACTAGAAAAAATTTAATTAAGTAAGCTTAAAGTTACTTTTTGGCAAATATCCTGTGGCTATAGAAATATAGGAATCAATCAAAATTATACTAATTACATAATATGATTTTAATGAGTTCATTAAAAATGAATCAAGATTTAATTAAAAAAGACAATTACTGATAAAAAAAGTAAGAATCCAATTTGGTCTTGAAAATAAAATAAAAATTAAGTTCCTTTTTTAAAAAAAAATTTATTAATTAATTTATTTACTTAAAAAATTAAACAAATTAAACAAAAAGGTGAACATCTGGTTATTATTTATGTTTAATATATTGTTTGTCTTTTGATGTATGAAAAAAAAGAGATGGGAGAGAGAAAATAAAAGATTTGTTATTTTCCGAAATATAAATTATAAAATCAAATGAATTAATAATTAATAATATAAAATAAAATATTCAAATTATAATTTATTCGAGATAATTA